AACCCCCCCCCCCCCCCCCCCCCCCCCCCCCCCTACCTTCTCACAGTTTTGACTCGCTTCCGTTCAAACCTTATTCATTGATAAACTGGAATGCCTGAAATGGGTGAATTTCGGAAAGCAAATATCCCTATTGCAAGACCCTACCACTGTTATTACTACAAAAAAATGTTCGGCAGATTTCCTTTCTTCCTTTAAAAAAATATCACCTGGAAGTCGGGACGACCGAGGAAGGCGCCCTGGATAACTTGTGCTCCAGAGTGAACTGCGTCTTGATCCCAAACTCCGCAGGAGGAAACCTGACCAGGAGGAGATCCTTGTGTCTCCTCCCCCGCAGGAACTCCACGTTGCTCGGCAAGGAGACGAAATGGTGCGAGTAGCTGAGGGGCTGGCGAATGCAGGCTGCGTCCGTTGCGATGCAGCGGGTGTGGCGTCGCTTGCATCTGCGGGACGAGTCGCGCGGTTCAACGGGTACTCTGAATCCCAACGACTTAGTACTTTTTTTTTGCAAGGTGAGCTTCGAGAGTCATGCGATGAATTCGTACGTGTTGGCAGCAAATACAGGGTGAAGAGATTTTCATTGTCTGGGATTCATCGTTATATCATGGAGAAGTTTTGGTTGAGCCCCGAAGACTACCTGGAGATGAGCTGATGAATGCAAATAAATTCCTTCGCGTGACCCTTACTTACGCCAGTCTTAAGAAAACTATAAGACAGCAATGTGTAGCAATGAAAAACCGACGAAAAGTAAAATTCATCCAATACGCCCAGGATGAGATTTCGAAGCGTCGATCTGCCTTTGTAACTGTTCTATTCTCTGAATGCTTTCAGAGAATACCATTCGAATGGCATTCTCGAAAGATCGTAGAAGAAATCTACTCGAATCGTTCAGACAGCACCGAGAGATAGACAGTTCCAGAGGAAAGAGCCTCACTTCCTGGTCTGGAAATCCAGTTCGTAACCGGAGGGGCAGGTGACGCCGACGCACCGGTGCTCTCCACCCACATTCACGCAGACACCCGAGGTCCCGCGGCACGGATCGTCTACGCACTCGTCCACGTCTGCTCCACCCACCCAAACCAACCATACGCAACCCAATAAATAACCGTTCCGATACGAATAAAATTTTCAATATGAGAAAGAGAGAGATGACCTCTGCAGTGCCTGCCATCCGCTTCCATCTGGTACCCTTCGGGACACGAGCACGAGTAGCCGCCAGGCTCGTTCAGGCAAATCCCGGCACAGGGACGATCTTTGATTCGTCCCGAACATTCGTCAATGTCGTTGCAAGACCTGCAAAAAGCGATAAAAAGGTAAAGTAACAAGGACCCGAAGGAAGACGACCGTCAGCCGTGAATAACCAGAGACCTGCTATCGTTGCTCAACACGTATCCCATCTGACACGCACAATGGAACGACCCCCAGGTGTTGACACAGATGTGACGACATATCTCTGACGTCCCCTCGCACTCGTCCGCATCTTCAACACCCAACGTCCCCTTTCGACATCTCCTCACACGACCACCAACGAGCAAAAGTCCACTCACCGAAACAGGAGAGCTGATCCGGCGAATTGACGAAACCGACCCCGCACGAACACCTATACGACCCCAGCACGTTGACGCAAGCGGAGTCGATCCCTGAACACACCTGTCCCCGACGCAGACTGCACTCGTCCACATCCCTGCAGCTCCGTCTCTTCTCGTCCTTCTCGTCCAGGACGTACCCGACCGGACAATCGCACGTGAACCCCCCGACCTGGTTCCGACACGTCTGCTCCATCGCGCAGTCGTGGAGCATTTCGGCGCACTCGTCCACGTCTGGGAATAAGCGAGATACGTTTCAGAAGGCTTTCCTGGATTTCCTGGAGTTCTAGATCTAGATGAGACGCTTAGACAGGGAGTCGATGAAGGATTTCGATACTTAACGAGGAATCCGGTTCGGACAGATGTTTCATCACCGCAGACTTCTAAGAGAATGCATGAATATAGATTCAATCATAAGAATACTTTTAATACATGAGATTTTCCAGGGGAAAATTCCTCTCGATAAGAATGCAATCTACAACAGATCAGAGGAAACGCAATGCAATATCCTTAATTCCTTGACATTTTCTATGCGACTGTTCACCATCCCTCCTTTTATGGGGGTGAACAGACTCGAAAGATTTTGAGGGTGGTGCTCGTTTGCGTACCGATACAGGAGCCTTCAGATCCGGTCCGGTAGCCCGAAGGGCAGGATGGAGGTGGGGGGGTCGGAAGAGGTTCGCAATCGCCGGTTCGCTCGTTCGTCTCTTCTCCGGGGGAGCAGGACTTGATGCATCTGAAGCTTCCCTGCGTGTTCTCGCACTCCCAGTCCGGGCCCAGTTCCTTGCACTTCGACGTCCCCAGTTCGCATTCGTCGTCGTCTAGAGATCGTGGGGTCGTCATCACTCGCTCCCAAGATGCATCGTCTCAGAGAAATGTATTACCTTCGCAGAGTCCATTGTGCGCATTGAGAGTGTAGCCGGTGCCACAGCTAGTTATCCGGATGCACGTGAAGGAGCCGATCGTGTTATCGCAGCGCTGTGTTGTCAGGCAGTTGTGCACGCCCAGCTGACACTCGTTCACGTCTGCAAGCACGAGAAATAACGTACATCTTCCTTTCCATTTCCTCTACCCCGTTACATAATAGCAGATACCTTGACAGTTCTTTGTCCGGGAGGTGAACTGGAATCCAAAGGGACAGTCGCACCGATATCCCCCCGCAAGATTGATGCAGGAGGAATTCCCCCCCTTACACGGATCCTTTCCTAAGCACTCGTTCACGTCTAAGAGAAGGAGTTATCCCCTCATTTCACGAAACTCCACACCTCAAGCAACCCCACGAACCCACGAACCTCGACACTTCCTGGTGACTGGGTCGTAGAGGAATCCCTTCGGGCATCTCGGCTGGTGTCCTCTGCCTTCTATAGTGCTTTCCCCGTCGGCGGCGTAGGATTGGCAGCGATAGCTTCCATCCATGTTGACGCACTCCTCCTTTTCGGGGCAGGGATCCGTCCCTTCCGCGCATTCGTCCACGTCTAATCCGCGTCGGAAGAGAAGTGATACTCTGACGCGCGAAAAGGCAAAGTCCGATGTAGGATCGTCCCTATCTTACGAGCAATAGTTTCTATTCCCGGGTCACTCCACTTAGTCGAATGCGTGCAAGTGTCCACTGCAATATCCAGGGCCACCCAGAAGGAGGGGAGGGGGCATCGGGGACAAAATGCCCCAGGCCTCCCGTATCAAGGGGCCCCAAGGGGGCCTCCAAAGGGCCTCAAGGGGCCTACAGTTTAGTTTTGCCCCGGGGCCCCTGGAAACCTCAGGACGGCCCTGGCAATATCTCGCGTCAACTAATGTAGATGCAACGAAATTCTCATAGAAAATATATTTGCACCCCTGGTTGAACACTCGCATTAAAAAAATATCCTCCATGTAACGAACGGATGAATATAAAACATCGTAATTAATCGAACGGTCTGAGTGGAACGGTGCCCTCTCTACCATCCACAAATAGAGTAAATTTTTTGTTGAATTTGATAATTTATCAAGTTGACGGTCGAATGCGTGGTATGATACACTATTTGAAAACGGCATATCATAGAAATGAAATCTCTCCAATAACGTTTCAAGAAAGTACTGAAGAAGACATCCAAAGCTTTTCGCGATTCTTCCAATAAACTTGCATTAAAAATGAAATATAATGTTTAAAAATTGCTACTAAATGGTTGCTATTCTAGCATTCACGCAGATTAGATTTTGTTTTTTATCCTTGTATTGTTTTTTTTTTTCGCCACAAAAAAAAACCTTAGAACGTAAACCTTAGGAATAAAAATACAAAAAATAATAAAGGAAGGGTGTCTGAAATTGATTTGCTGGTGCATTGGGAAAAAAGGAAGCATTATTTTTAGGGATGCACCGATCCAGGATTAGCCGATACCGATACCGATCTCGGTGTTTTGGTATCGGCCGATCCGATACCGATACAGACAGCTCCCAGTGGCTGTCAGAAGTGAAACCACAATACAGGACCAGACCTTTGTAGGCCTTATGCTACCTTTGGCATGGAAGGGAAGAAATGAAAAATCCTCGGACATTAATGACCCATCATTCAAAATTCCTGTCATTTATTTAGCTCTGGAGACATTTACGTCGGCCAAATAAATTAACTTCTTCAGTAAAGGCCAAAACTTCACCCGCCATTCACTGGGCCAGCCGAGAATACGTCGGACGTAGGTACTACGAACAAAGGACGATCAGTGCGAAGAGGAGTAGGAGTAGGAACTACGTCTCATGTCCTTAAGGGATTAAGGAGTTGATGCAACTACAACCGGGATCGGTGCTCGAGGGGAGAGCCGGAGGCCGGATGGACGTGAGCACAAAGTGCGCCTGCGCAAACCAGTCAGCGCAGGAAGGCAGGAGACTGGACGGAATGGGGGAAAGTCAAGGAATAGTGAATGACTCTGGCCCATTCTATTTGTACAATGCCCTTCTCAAGTCTCTCGCATTTCACTTTAACCATGCGCAAACTCATTGACTATCAGTTGGGGATTAACAAGAACTATGACGGACTTAAGGAACCGTATGCCATTACGAGTGGGGTTTTTTTCTTGAGACGTTCCCAAAATTTACGCGCTGCGCATTAAGTATGGCGCGCGGCAAGGGAGAATCGGATCGGATCGGCCATATAGGTATCGGTCGATACCGATCCTGGCCGATCCACTGAATATCGGCCGATACCGATACTTTGGATCGGTATCGGTGCATTCCTAATTATTTTGCATATTGTATGGAGAGAATTTGCGGTTAGTAGCTAGAATATCTCTCAACATCGGCCTCGATGGAAGCTTTTGTGTCCTTAAATCTGTTGATTCTCTACCATCTTCATTGTGGGCAGTGCCGCGGAAACGAAAAATCATTCCATGTTTCAATGTAGTTCCCGGCAATTTTCCCATTGGAATCATTTGATTAAATATTCCCTACTCACTATTCAACTCCCAAAATGTTTATAGCCTATTCCATAATTTCATTCCAAATCACAACGAATCTAGATCATTCCATTCGTAAATTCAGTTACATGAAACTTCTCTCAAAGCAGGAAAAAACTATTCAGGATGTAAATTTGATCCTCAACCCATTGAAGAGAGTCCCGTATTTGTATTGCCGCCTTCCAAGCCGAACAGTATTCCAAAGATTTAATTCGCGACCGAGAAATGAAGCAATCGATCCCGGAAGAATGTTCCTCTACGACGTCACTCCGATGAAATCCCCGAAAGAACTCACCGACACAGGAAGTAGCGGACTCATTGGTGGCGGCAGGGGAAGGCCGATACCCGGGGAGGCATAGGACCTTGCATGCGTATCCGCCGTACGTGTTCGCGCATTCCGTGCGTTCAGTGGGGCAGTTGTGAATCCCGTCCGCGCACTCGTCGATGTCTAAACGACCCAAATTGACCTTGAAGCAGTGGCGGCTCGTGATATGCAGCAGCAGTGGATCGTCAATGGAGGCAGGGTAGGCCCAGGCCTACCCTACCTCCATTAAGATCCACTACTGCTGAATATCACGAGCCGCCACTGCCTTGAACTATGGAACCTAGGCTCCGGTGACCGCGTGGTTAAACAAGAGACCGACCGAGACACAGCCGGGTCTTGGGCTGGAGTCTGAAGCCGGGCTCGCAGGCGACGCGGGCCTGGCATCGGAAGCTCCCGGGCGTGTTCACGCATTCCTCCACGACGCTGCATGCTCCTTCCAAGCATTCGTCCACGTCTGCACGGGAGAATAAAGGGAATTCCTATAACGGATAACTCCTTGCAATTTCACACCATGTATAGATCTCAACGCGAGGTGGTTTTTTCCACGCTACGTATGGTAAATGCTCATCGAGTCTTAACAACTTGCGCTATTGGAGGAAAGGAATTGGAAATTGTGGGAACGTGGAAAATACGGTAATCTTAATCGATAATCTTCTTGCATCTCCTGAATGGAAATGACGGATACATATGGGAATTACACAGTCACATATTTGGAAATATTTATTTGACGAAACGAATGGCTCGACTTCACTGACAGTTGATTTTTCTACTCATATATAAAGCAAAAGCAGGAAACGGGTCGGATGGCAAATACGATGCCAAACGGGAGGGGGGAGGGAAGGCAAGGTCGAAGGGGAAAGCAAGGTCGACTTGTCCTGCTGGAGGCCTGACTTCCAAGTTATATAAAGCTACATGTACATAATTGCACAACACCCACTCCCTGCCGAGGATCGCTTGCCTCCTGAATTTGTCAGCCAACGACTTCTTATCATGTGAGTTTTAGCACGCGAGTGAACCCCATGTAGGGTAAAATACCCAGTGATAGCCCACAGCACATAAAAATTTCAACAACTAAGCTTCCATAGCACGTATACCCCTGTGGTGACATGGGCTAGCAACATGCAAGCATATACACACTTCAGAGGTGTTCATGCTACAAATGACTAGATTTTGGAAATTTCCTGCATCGTGGTCCATCACTGAGTACACGCTCTTAAGAGGCCCATCATTAAGTATTTCACCCTACTCTTTATTACTTCGTCAGGAAATGTATTGAGTGGATTTGAAAATCCTTTTTGTTACTACGCACCTTCCCCATTAGGATTGCCACCTGTTCATAATTAGTATGGACAGTACATGTTTCAGACGCAATGTCCATACTGCGAACTGGACCTAATATGGAAACTGCTTTTCCCATATTTTGAACTTAAGGTTATTTTTACGCAATAAAGCTTAATAGTAGCTAATATCGTTACTTTCCGTAGGTCAAAAGCAGTAGGCCACATTCATAGTATCGATTGGCGCCTTGGCTTAAGGTGGCTGTTGGTACATTTCGAATATTCGTCCATATTTGTTAAATTCAAAGGTGGCAACCCTAATCCCCATGGAGAGACAGGAGGGGTGTTGCCAAGTCGCAATACTATCCATACGTGTGGAGACAAGGAGAACCAAGCCGCAGCATTAGTCCTCTTAGAACAGGACAACGATGGTCCTATCGTCTCGGAAGGAACACGAGACCTGAGATGCCTCACTAACGCCTCCGTTTTGGAGTGCTAGGAGAACTGAACCTTGGCAGAGTCACCGTCTATGCAAATCCCGGTGGACCAATCTGTGGATGCAGGTCGCGGAGATGTCGCAGCTTTTGGGGTGTATCTGTCGTATCCTGATTCCAAATCACCCCAGGAAAGGCGACGTGAGAAAATGTTAACTCGTCCGAACCTAAGGTCACTCACTCGATCCGTTTCCAAATTTTCTCCCAAGTCTTGCATGGGGCCCCTTAACGTGTGATTCTTTCCGCCCAATATGATGAAGTCGTTCTATTTATTTTAATGGGAAAAAGTTGTGAAACGGTGTAGTTGTCCGATAGCAAATGCTGTTTTTAAGGAGGAAAAGTGTATTCTTGCATTACAATCAAGAAGGCCTACCTCAGATTTGGATATGCCTTTGCAGGAGACTTTTAAATCCAATTGACGGTGCTCAACATCCAGAGGTGAGTAAAATTTCACCATCTTACCAGCTTATAATAACCAGTGAACTCAATGAAGAGATTTTATAAATAAATGTCAATTTAGAAATACAGGGTGGCGCACTTAAAAGTAGCCCGTACCCGTGCTCAGCAATGTCTGGATGTGGGGGGAGGGCACTTCCAGCATCTCCTATAGGTGAGTGATACGAGCTACTTTTAAGTGCGCCACCCTGTACATACTACCAATCATTCCTAAATACATCAGTAAACGATGTGTTCCGGAAGTCCAAATTTAAACATTTGAAGCGTGTAAAAGCTCTACAGAGCAGAAAAGCTAAAAGTCTCCTTACCCTGACATCGCAGTCGCGACGCGTTGAATTCGTACCCGACTGGGCAAATGGACGCAGCCCGTTCACACGTGAAGGATCCGTCAGTATTCACGCACTTCTCCCCCAGGAGGTGAGAGCAGTTGTGCATCTCTCTCCGACATTCGTCTATGTCTACCTACGCGATCGACAACCTCAGCAACACATATCTTTTCACACGACCGCCGTCTCACATTCACAAATCACCTCTCCACAAAGACATAGGGAGTCGTACCTACACAGATCTTCAGTTGGGGATGGATCCGGAATCCAGGCAAGCACCTGAGGCCGCACTCGTACCCTCCCAGGGTATTCCGACAGACCTCACCCGCCTCGCAAACATCACCTCTTTCTCTACACTCATCCACATCTGCACAAATCCCACACTCATCAATGACGAACGAACGAGACGAGACATTACTTCAGGAACTTCGCAAAAGATAAGTATAAATAACTCCGAAAATTATTTTAACATAAAAAACTATACACAGGGGTGTCTCAGAATAGATTAAACATGGGTCCTTCCGTTTAGCCTATGGTCTTGAAATTCATAGTCCTTTATAGACCTAGGTCGGAACAGTCCGGATAGGAAACCCGGTTCAGTAAATTTTGGGGTACTCTGTATGTTTAGGAAATTCAAAGCACCTCGACAGTTTTCCCTGGCGTAATCCCAAGAATATCCAGCAGGGCATTGAGTGACTCCCCTCGGTAGACACGTGAAGGACCCTTCCATGTTCAAGCAGGATTCCCTTTCCCGGTCGCAGTCGTCCGACCCCGCCTCGCACTCGTCCACGTCTTCACCGACGGGGAAAAACCACATGAATTACCGACTCGGAAACCCAAGATCAATACGACACTCAAGCATGAAGTTATTATCGTCACCACTACTTTGATTCGCCCGGACACACCAGGCCTGCCTTTGAGAGCGAGTCCCTTCGAGTCTCAATCCCAACTATCTCTCCAATCTGGATTTACGAAAGCCTCGCCAGCAAGTCGCGCTCTGATTGGTTGAAAACTCAAACCCAAGAGCCTATCGAAGCCCAGGAGGTTGCCAGATATCCAAATCTGTTTCACAATTTTTTTCAAATGAGAGGTTGATCAGGAGAAACCCTTAATTCGAAGGTATGTCCACAGCGCTTTCGACGATGCATACATTTGTAACGAGAATCAATTACCATCGATGACATTTAACTACAGTATACAGCCTAATGAAATTGAAGCATGGAATTCGGTCGGGCGTCTCTGCACTACGTGATGGGAATAGGCCTTACCAAGACAGGAAGAATCGAGAGAGGATTCCACGTATCCCTCGGGGCACCCTTCAGGCAAGACACACGAGAAACTCCCAATTGTGTTCCGACACTGAAAACCAGACTTGCAGGGGAGCTGGCCAGACCTCGTTTCGCACTCGTTCACATCTGGGATAAAATTCCATATTTTACTACTTGTAATTATTCCTCTCTTTAGCTTCAATTCCTGCTACAAATTTTGTATCTCACCTTCACAAGTCCTGGAATTAAGATCGAAGGCAAAACCGGCAGGACACTCCAGCCTCTGTCCAGCTGCATCAAAATATTAGACTCATTAGCCGGAGATGGTAAACATTATATTTATTATTATCCATATCCCGCACAGTAATTTCAAAGTATTTCGCATTAAGAAAAAATTCGCGCCTAAAAGACCAGATCAGAGTTTCAAAGCCTTACAAGGTTCAAAGAAACGCAAGGATCCCTCAAGGAAAAGGAAATGGGTCATTCCACGCCAAATCGACCAGCGAGTAAGCTCGACCATCTCGGATTTTCACAAAAATCGGCATACACGTAGAGGAATCGATTTAAAGAGACCAATCTCAGCAAATATATTATCTCTCCCACAGATCTCCAGATACATGCATTTTAATGAGACATAATTTTCGCCCCCAGCGTCCATACGGACTGGAATTGTGAAACTGTTTCTGCAATAACTTCCCCTCTAGTTAAGACAAAGCTTCATTCTGGTGTCATTTTAATCGTGAGATTGCCGTCTTTAAAACGACACCAGAAATTATTCTCCTAAACTGAAACAATAAGCTTCATTGATCAAACAGTTTGATCAAATTCAGTGGCCAATATCGACACTTGCCACCTCGTGAATTCGTTGTTTCAATATTTCATTGATGATATAAAACTAGAGATTGGCACTCAATGGATTGACGAGATATGAATATTTTTGTGCTCCAATAGGGCCAAAATTTCCACTTGTTGGAACACTTTGACAGACTTTAATGACCGACACCTGCACTTTCCATTCCATGAATCCGGACTTCTAATACATCATTTAAAAAAAAGTGCCTGCTACCCCCTTTCTAACGATACAAAATTCAAGGTTGGCACTCAATGGGTTCATGAGATATCACCGTTTGTAAGGTGTGTATCCAAAATTCCACTTGAACACAAACATCCGTTTCCCCCATGAGAATTCCACAATGTATGCACACACGCTACATTACGCTCAATTACATATTAGAGTGTGTGCACACACTCTAATATGTAATTGAGCATGTTAACCCAGTAATAACAAAAAAGCGACTTAGAACGCAGCCAGCCGAGACTCACGGTTTCGGATGTCATTGGAGGGAATCCGAGGCTCCAAGGCGTCCCGCGGAGCGACGGAACTGCCATCTGGACGGAAGCACGAGTAACTGCCCTGGGTGTTCATGCACGCCTGGCCCAGGCCTCCGCACACGTCCACGCCGACCACGCACTCGTCCACGTCTATCGAAGGTATTGTCTTTTCGCATTCCACATACTCCAGAAATTTCAACCCCGGAAGTACGAAATTGATTTAGAGAGAGAATTGAGCTCGAGTGAGGGACGATTAATCCAATTTGCTTGAAATGGCAGGGAAGTTAAATTGCCTGTTTTTCTATTGCAGTATGTGTTCCAATCAAGTCAGAAAGCAATATGAAAATAAATGTTTCGAGATGAGATGCGGACATCAACCGAGCTCGAAGGGTTAAAAACAATGCAGCAGCTCGTTGTCGTGAAAGTGTTCGGGAAACCAGGACAAATTTAACACCGCAGGGCAGATACCGAACGGCTCCAGATACCTTGGCACGAGATGCCGTCGTCCGCAAGCTGGTAGCCGGGATTGCAGAGACATCGAATCCCCGAATTCGGACCATCCTGGCAGATCTGCTCGCACGGATTCTCCCTCTCGCACCTGCACAGGTCATCCGCATGTTGATCAGAGGGATCAGGTCCGCAATGGGCTCCTCGGAAAGGGGGCTTACCCGGCAGAAGGGTCTTCCGGGTAGCAGGTCTTCTCGTCGTGTCCCAACCGGTGACCCAAAGGACAATCACATCGGTAGGAATCCACCCCGATCGGGATGCACAGGTGCGAGCACAGCCTCCCCAGAAACTTCACGCACAGGTTCCCCTTATCTACACCCGTCAAAAAGCCCATACGAAAACAGCAACAACAGCAAAAAACTTTGAAAAAAAACTCACTACCGACACCTACCCACAGAACTGGAGAGATTGACTTGCACCGGCGACGATGTGGTCGAATGCATGTTCGGATGATGCAAACAGCATGCAGCAAACGCCTCATCCCACGGCCTCCTGAACCGAGAATTCGTCGAAGTGCATCCAACTCCGAGACGAGACGACATCCTCCCCAACTGGCATCCCTCGCAGCAATCCTACACACCAACCCAACTCATCAACTCATCATCCATTTATCCTCCACCTGTCCACCACCATGAACCCAATCATCCACTCGCCTTGAGAGTAGTGGACTTAGTGGAGTCCCCCTTCGGACACGGCTTGGAGGCCAGCGCCCGATCGACCCCCCTCTGGCACTGCGCCTCCCCCAACGCCCTGACGCAGCATGTCTCCACCACCAGCAGACACATCTCCTGCTCCTCCTGAGGGAACTCCGAGGTCTCGTTCGGCTTCCGTTCCTTGCATCCTTTCCCCGACTTCACGATCTTCCCCAATTCCATCCCCATTCCGCAGCACCGATCGAACAGGGGATTTGGGTTCGTCTCTCCTGAAAAGAAACGGGGCGTCGTGACACTGCGACGACTGATTTGTCGACTCGTGCACCTGACACCGTACAATCTGCGCAACTCTATGCAAAACGAATGCAGGACAAGAAAAACTGTGAATTTCATTGCCAAACATTTAACCTCCTCCATGATCAACCGCAGGATTCACGACTCCGACTTCACCAAGTCCCAGAAGAACGATCATCGTAGATGAGTCATCACACGTCCCTTCGGACACGACCCCCCGAAACTCACCATCGACAATGGCGATAAGAAGAAAAACCAGCAGGAGATCCATGCCGAATCTGCACTTAGGCGAGAAACTCATCCTCCAAATCAATTTCCTTCCTCTTCCCCAGCCAAAACCACACGGATGGATGTCGTCATCCACTCCCTCCCGCCTCCATCCAACCCCCCCACCCCCGCCACACACACACACACACACACACACACACAAACAGTTCCTCTTCCCAGGAGAAACCCTGCACGTATCTGCACTTCGTTCTCCTCTGACAAGCCTCCATGCCCCTGTGGCCTTCCGACGGAAGGCTGTGGTCCCCCCTCCCCTTCCCCACGGATCTGGCGACGCCTCACACATGCATCGATCCCGACTAACGCGAGAGGATCAAATACAGACGCTAGTTATCGGGTCTACACAAATGTCTTCACACGGTAATTCCCGATTCCAAAGGCACGACGTCACACACAAAATCAGAACTTAGCGTACTGAGAACAAAAAATTCAGTGACATGGGCCTCCACCCTAATTGACGGCCGTGCACGTAGTGAAGGCCCGTCTTTGGAATGGGTATGGGTGTCCACGGATGGCAGATACTCTTATCAACTCACACGGGCAATGCGATGTACACTTAGAAAAGAGTGAGCGATTTCCGAGAAAGGGAGCGAAACGGGTGTGGACCTCAGGGGGTGGCCAGCAGATATGAGGGGGAGGAGTCACCTCCTCCCCTCCACCTCCCACCTCCAAGAGACTGTCCCTACCTGGGGAGGAACATCTTCGACGCCCCAGAGACTGAGAACTGAGTCAGTTCTGTTCAGTGGTTCCGTGCATATACGTGTGGATATCCTTTTCTCTGTCACCCGGGTGAACCCTTCTATTTCTGGTCAGTTATCTTTGTCTTGTCAATATACTCTTGTTCCTGTGGTCGAACCATCTCGTATTTCATTACGGAACTCACCGGTACTACCATCATAATTGGAGCCAGATTGTAAGCAGTGGTGTAGTCAGGTTTTCGTCAATGGGGGTGTTAAGCGGAACGTTGGGGGGGCTAACTTCTCATCGTCGGGGTGGGGCGGACGCATTCCGACCAGAGTTGGGGGGCTTGAACCAAACTTGGGGGGCTGAAGCCCCCCCCGCTACGCCACTGATTGTAAGTAACAGCACCCACATACAATCAGGAACGCCCACACTGGAGTTAGCAATTTTACTCCCTAAAAACGAGGAAGAACAATCGATAACTACTCCTTTATATGAGCAGAATCAATAACTTTTTTTAAGAGCGCGAAACGAAGGAGAAAGAGTACTTTTCAAATTAGTAGAAAAAGTTCGTGGTTATTCTCAGGAAAGAGAGATGTGAGCGGCAATACTTCCCTGATTTTAGGGAGTAAAATCGCAAACTCCAGTTTCGCTCCCTTTCTAGGAAATCGCTCTCTTTTCTAAGAGTGTAGGATATCAGATCGTAGCGCGAGAAATGCCATTTCCTCATTCGTAGTTCATTTCTGAGCTCCAAGTCACGTTCATCCACTCAGATCGGCAGAGTATGGGGAATTACCCTTAGATTTCGCAAAATTACACTCCTCCATCGAGCTGATATAGAGAGCTGTTAACCGCGGTATTAACACCTGAGTCTACTCATTTCATAACCTTCTGCCAATCAGATTCCATGGCTTTTGCCGCGGTTTTTCCAGACACTGGTGACATCTACGTACACTAGATGCAGATAGCATATATTCACACCCTTTGTCCTTCGTGGGAATTGTGAAAGAAACATCTTCCATCTCAAGTGGAAAACTGAAATGTATTCTTGGAAAAAAAAGAAAGAAACGGGAGGCAGTTGGTGACTGGTATATCATTTCCCGTCGCTTTAAACATAAAAACGGAAGTTTGGTGGCTAAAGCGACTTCAATTTTTCTCTGCCATGCATAAAAATCTCAACGACCGTAAGTTCCACCTGGTACAGGGACTAGATTAAAAGAATTTTTCGAAGAGCAAGAATAATTTTGTGTAACGCCAAATGCTGAAAAAAAATAATCACGAATAATAATTAAACCAGTCCTAATCGATATTATGCAGTACATACATAAAGTGAAACCCAATACCTGAATCACAGATCAAGAGCACGCGAATCGCACTCCCTTTAAAGATCCAACGAAATTGTCCCTGTTGTCAGTGGGCATATCGTCCAGAGTCGTGTCGCACCCGCAGCACAAAGGGAGAGAATGAGACGTTTCGCCGGAGCAGAGAATGCAGCGATCCTCCGGGTTCGAGGAGTCGGGTTTGAGCTTGCAGCCGATGCGGGTCACGGTGGGGACAGTGGAGGGAAAATTCACATTCAGACCCACGAGGAAGTCTTGGGTCAAGGCGTGGATGGAGTCGGGGAAGGAGAACGCGATGGGACGGGAGGGCAGCTGCAGCGCTTTGTGGCGACAAAAGAGGGCGGCTTCCTTGTCCGAGATGTCCTTCAGGGGCTGGAGGAAGTCGAGGCTCCAAAGACGAAGATGGAGGCGGGGGAGGGATGCGAGGGCGAGGCCGGTTCCGTGGGTCAGGGTTGTCAGCATGGTGCCGGCTAGCTTCTCTTGGGTCCGGGCAAGGAACACTTTTGGGGTGGAGAGTTGGTGGGCGATTCGGGCGAGGCAGAGGAGCTTCAGCTTCTCCAGCACGTAGGCTTTGGAGGTGGGGGATATGATGGATCGGAATATTGCCTGGAGGCGTTCTTCGCCTAGTCTTGCAGAGGATGCCACGTCGAGCCATTCTGCAGAGGATGCTGCCAGAGGGATTTTGGCTTTAAAGACGAAGCCGAGACTCGTGACCAGGGTCGGGAAGGCACGGGGCACTTCCCACATCCACGTCCTGTTCTCGTCTGCGTCCGCGAAAAGAAAGTCTTGATAGACGTGGACGACCGTGGCCTTCACGGGCAGGAGTCGCTCTGACTCGAAGACGCTCTCGCGGAGCAACTCCACCAGGGCCTGCGAGGCCGGCCCGCCCGAATCTCCCACCAGCGCCGTGTCCGTCGCCTGCAGCGCTTTCTCTTTCCCGAGCGCGGCGCGGAACTTGTGGGAGACGCCGAGGAGGAAGCAGGGTGGGCAGTAGGCGTCCTTCCCTCGCAGCATCACTTTCGGCTCGTTCGCTCCGCACTTGTGGCAAGTTCGGACGTCTCGACCGGGCGTTAGTCGTTCCACAGGCACGTCCTCCTCTCCGCCGCAGGAGCACATGTTTCGATCGCTGAAATATCAAACGTCGATGGCGTCACTGCGTCGATGAAATTTTTTTTGTGTATCGGATCTATCATGAGGCCTGGGGTTCAAACTTTGCCCACAGAGGAGTTCTTTGTCCTCGAAGTGGCCAGGGATACGCTCGACTCGACAGAAGCCAAATGCCAAGTCGGATGATAACATATGAATAACGGAATAATGTATGAATTTTATTCTGAAGCTAATTGATCAACATTCAAGAATATAATTGAATAACATTACAAAAATTAAAACTCGTAACAATTCATCACAGGGACGAAAAGGCTCAGGTAATGCATAGACGTAAGTGCCATAGGAGAAAGTATCAAAGATGCACAGAAAAACTGGCAAATAACCTAGACGACTCGATGGTATCACTTGTTGGTTGATGCTCCTCCATGGAAGAAGATCCTTGCACTCTTCAGGTTGAAGTCCAACAGCTGGAATTCCTGCAAATCAGCATCATATGCCTCAAAGGTCACCAAATTGGACTGCAATAAGGCAGGCATGAAAGTCAAGTATGTACCTTTTGAAACTGATCCAGCCTTTTGAGAGTGAGTTGCACAGTCTGCTGGAGCTTGTCATCATCTGAGTTTCCCAAGGGGGACACATTCTTGGGGACTGAAGTTCCCTTCCCCTTTGAGGCCTCCAGTCTCTCGGCTTCATATTTCTCCTGCACGGCTTGAAACCAGTGAAGGGAATCAAAGTCCTCATACTGGGCCAGGAGTCTCAAGATGTATGCAATGCCTGAAGGGAGAGAAATCCTTGTTCACATCCTCCAGAATCCTCCCATAGTTTTAATATCTGAAACATTCATACCCATGGCAAACCCATCATCAGTGAAAACAGCTCCATCCTTGTTCTTCTTGGCCATCTTCTCCTTTGTTGCCACAAAATATTCCACATAGTTCACCGTGAGGGCAGGCACAATCACATGAAAGTTTTTCAAGTGAGCATTCTTGGCATCTCGAAAAGCTGGAGCGAAAGCATCCACCAGGAGCTGCCAGAGAAATCTGAGCTCATCAAAAGCCCTCAGTACTCAAGGTACCAAAGTCCAGCAGGAAAGACAACAGACCTGGAAATACCGAGTTCCCTCGGAGAAATTACGTGAAATGTCATTGATGACATCATCCAACTGCTTTCTGGCTTCCTTACACTCTGCTGAGATTGAGGATTCATCTGGGAGGAGTTCTTGGAAGCTGATGATCCCTTCCAGGTCAGGAATGAAGCGTGCCGCCTTGCTGCAGCTGTTGAGGCCTCCTGACCGTATCAGGCGCACAAAGCCCATGGCATTCCCTTTGTAAGCAGAAGAATATTAATTGAAATATCTTCATAAGCAATGAAGCACACTGCATGGAAATGAGACTGCAAATACACACCAACGTGGGTAATGAGGAGTCGGAATTGATCCAGAAAACTGAGCCCATCAGGAGTCAATCCCAATTTACGGATCCCTCGGTGGAACTTCTCTGCCCGGTCAAATGGATACTTCCCATTCAAGGCTTCTTTGCTGTCTCGGAAGTACCTGAGATCTTTAAGCAGTCGTGACTTGATGTGATCATCAAAAAGGAACTGTGAGAATATGTAGAACTTCTTCCGTAGGAACTGATATGTGAAATTCACCTGCAGGGAGGAAAAATTAGGATCATTCTCATTTTCACTCAGCACAAAGACTATACATATGATCTGAGGACAAAGCAAGGCTCACAGTGGTGTTCATGATACCAGTACCATGTGTGCGGATTGAATTGGCCAAATGTCGAATGCTGATGGTATTCAGATGCTTGTTGTTGCTAGTGCGTTCCACAAACACCTGTGTGTTGAGGTTATACACATACTTGGACACAAAGACATGAATGTTCCTCACGATCTCCAGGATGTCCAAGCCCTGTTTCATAACCAGGGTATTATTCCATGAGCAACAAGAACAATGGATGAAAAATACTGAAGAATGTAGCCAGGGTTACCTGATCCAGCGTCTGACTTGGAAGATGAGCTTCAACTGTGAAGAGACCATACTTCCTCTGGGCGACACTACGCATCTCTCCATAAGTCTTCCAGTCATGCAGTGCAACTGTGGTGTGATTATAAAACACCTTGTCCAAGTAGTGCTCCACATGACCTGATGGATGCAATTCCCTGTTTAGTGAGCACTCTCCCTCATTGGAACTTAATTCTGAAGCTTGATACAAACCTTGAATGGATAGGAAATGATGGAAAAATCGAATGGGTCTGATCGCTAGAAGAATGCTTCGGTCCCTCATTCCAATATGGAATGGGTTCCGATCACCTATTGTCAGGTGACTGTGAGTCTCCAATCTCAAGTCTGTCTCAATGTCAGCACACAAAGGGTCAACAATCTGAAGGAAAACATGGAAAGTAAGAATTTACTCCATAAGACATGGGTGAGGAATGGTCACTACCAGAGACTCACATGTTCCATGAAAGATTTCACAATTTGCTTCTCAAAGGTTCTCAGTAGGAACTGTGGATCAGCTTGATGTCTCACAAGGGACAGCAACAAGGCTGAGTCTTCCAATGCATCAAACATACTCTGCAGTAAAGAAGGCAAGATGTTGGCAAAGACTGCTGAGAGAAATTTAAGTAATGCTGACTCACTTACATGAAGGAGGTGCACCTCCCCTGGATTCTCAAAGACATTGGTTAAATAGATGGGAAGGATGACTGAGCGATGCCAATAGAGGAAACTGCAGTCACATACTTCCTTAACATGCATGTTCAATGCAGAGATCATACACAGTGGCTGCAGAGTGGACTTCAGGTTCTCCATCTCCTCCTCTCGAAATGTTCTTCCTGGAAGAGAAGGCAATGATTCCAACAAAAAAAAAAGTTTGATGGGATGCTGCTCATGCACCAAGGCCAGAGACAAACCCTGAGCTGCAACTTCAAGAGCCAATTGGAGGACAAGCTTTGCTCTGGTCATCAATGGACGATTGACAACATCTTCGCTCAGCTGCAGAGCAGAGATCACATCCAGTTGCTGGCTGCTGAATTGCTTTTTCTCTCCACTCTTACGCTTCTTCAAAAGGACAAGGGCAAGGTTTACCAACTCTCACAGATTTGTACATGCCAAGGTTTTTGCAAGTGGCACAGTGAGTTGTCATCAGTAAACTTGGAATTCAATCTCTGATGCAAATACACGAATGCTTGATGCAAATTAATGTAGCAACCCTGCATCTGCATGTTATGCTACTTTGAAATTTACCTGTTTGACTAGTCTTTTTTGCCAATTCCTATGCTTTCTGTTTAAATTAGAAAAAATGCATTCTTTTACTTGTTAACCAGGGAGCTTATATAAATATTGAATGTCCCCATATTGTATTCAAAAGAATCCTAAGCATCTTTGAACTCCTGGATTAATAAAAGTTAGGCTACAAAATATTTCATCTGCAGTGATTCAATCAGCCCAGAAGAGTATTTGAACTGTTACCTTGTTAAGTCAAAAACGTCAAAATCCAACAATCAAGCTATGGTATTTACTCATGTATGAGGTGCAATTTTTTTGTGTTTGATGAGAGCTTCTTATACTTGAGGGAAAAAATTCTTTTTTTTCAAAAAAAAATTTTTTCAGCATGCCTACAACTCATTGGTCACTTATTCTGACTGCAGAAACTGTTTCCACCTCAGGAAACAGTTTCTGCAGTCAGAACAGGGGAAATATAATATTATAATAATAAAACAATAAACAGGGAGTGGCTATGTGGATTTGGGGACTTCATTTGGTATTGGAATCGGAATCTGAGGTGTCTGGCAGTGTGGAAAATTGATTTGTGGAGCTCTCATCCTCCTCCAAGACAATCATTTCTCTTGGAAATTTTTGAGGCGCTGAGGTTTTCCAACTAAGAGAAAATCCAACTCACTTCATGAATCACACCATTCATCCTCATGATGCATTGAATTTTTTAGGGGAGTTCCCGTTTGCTCTTGCAATTGTGTGGGTTCATGTCTCAATCAATCTAGTTTTACATATAGACCATCCTTTCAAGACTAAAAATCAGCAAACAGTGCCAGAATGAAGTGAAATGTTTACACAGTATGCTTCATCAAGGATTTTACTACAGAAGTAGACTTAATCCTTCATGTATTTGGACACTTCCTTCTCAATTACCAGAAATAATCCCTTTTTCCAAATACTTATGACCTATAGCACAGATGCCAAACTCCTTCACTTCCTGAATCACATTGATTTCTCTGCAGCTGTGTAACTTCACCATACATTTCCATCCATTTTTACAGATAATAAAACAAATATTAGGGATATTGTGCCCCTCCTCGATAAAGGTCAGGACAGTGAATAAAAAATAAGGTCCAACTGACTTCATGACTGGCTTTACCCCTTATTCATCCCCCTTGTCCAACACTTTTCACTATGAAATAGGGGGGTGCACCTTATACACAGGGAATTTTTTTTATTACACAAATTGGGACCTCAAAAGCAGGGGTGCATCTCATCTTATACATAGTGGCACACTATACTCAAGTAAATACAGCACTTTAGAACAAACACTGCAGGTATTTCCCAAAGCTACACCTATTCAATGTGCCCCCAAAACACAACTGCTCATAATGAGGTTCCCACCTGTGAAGAAAGCCTCACCTTGGCTGAGGAGATCATGGTCAGGGCAAGATGCTGAAGATGCTGGACAAGATGATGAACAGATCGAGCAAGGAGGACAGCATGGCGATGATATGTCCCTTCAATGGTCTTGATGAGTTCAATCACGTGACAAAGTGCAAGCACTGACATCTTTGTCATTGGCTGGCCGAGCATCACGTGTAAATTCATCATGGTCTTCACAGTCTGGCTTAACGTGTGAGCAAACAAAAGCCCCTGTAACCAAAAAACAAGGGTGCCATATAAATCTAGAAGACCAAAGGGAGGAAAATGGCAATTAAAGCTAGCACAAGAACCTGGAGGAACGTATTGCATCGTCGCTTTACATCATCCAATTTCAGCTTTCCTGGGTCTTGCACACTCAGCTTTTCCATTTTCATGATCCAATTCACTACCTTATCATCAGGAGAAAAGGAACATAAGAATGGAATTATGGTAAAAGTAGGGATACACCAAGAGCAAAATTTGTTCAATCATAATCTCAACCATCAATCTATACTAGCAATACCAATGATAGCCAATAGGAAACAGTGTGTCCTTCGTGGTTTCTTAATTATTATTATTTTCCTATATGCAAGCTATTTTCTCTTCATGGGTGATTAACCAAGCCAACTCTNGCATCAAACATACTCTGCAGTAAAGAAGGCAAGATGTTGGCAAAGACTGCTGAGAGAAATTTAAGTAATGCTGACTCACTTACATGAAGGAGGTGCACCTCCCCTGGATTCTCAAAGACATTGGTTAAATAGATGGGAAGGATGACTGAGCGATGCCAATAGAGGAAACTGCAGTCACATACTTCCTTAACATGCATGTTCAATGCAGAGATCATACTCAGTGGCTGCAGAGTGGACTTCAGGTTCTCCATCTCCTCCTCTCGAAATGTTCTTCCTGGAAGAGAAGGCAATGATTCCAAAAAAAAAAGTTTGATGGGATGCTGCTCATGCACCAAGGCCAGAGACAAACCCTGAGCTGCAACTTCAAGAGCCAATTGGAGGACAAGCTTTGCTCTGGGCGTCAATGGACGATTGACAACATCTTCGTTCAGCTGCAGAGCAGAGATCACATCCAGTTGCTGGCTGCTGAATTGCTTTTTCTCTCCACTCTTACGCTTCTTCAAAAGGACAAAGGCAAGGTTTACCAACTCACAGATTTGTACATGCCAAGGTTTTTGCAAGTGGCACAGTGAGTTGTCATCAGTAAACTTGGAATTCAATCTCTGATGCAAATACATGAATGCTTGATGCAAATTAATGTAGCAACCCTGCATCTGCATGTTATGCTACTTTGAAATTTACCCGTTTGACTAGTCTTTTTTGCCAATTCCTATGCTCTCTGTTTAAATTAGAAAAAATGCATTCTTTTACTTGTTAACCAGGGAGCTTATATAAATATTGAATGTCCCCATATTGTATTCAAAAGAATCCTAAACATCTTTGAACTCCTGGATTAATAAAAGTTAGGCCACAAAATATTACATCTGCAGTGATTCAATTAGCCCAGAAGAGTATTTGAACTGTTACCTTGTTAAGTCAAAAACATCAAAATCCAACAATCAAGCTACAGTATTTACTCATGTATGAGGTGCAATTTTTTTGCATATTTTATTGTGTTTGATGAGAGCTTCTTATACTTGAGGGAAAAAATTATCTTTTTCAAAAAAAATTTTTTCAGCATACCTACAACTCATTGGTCACTTATTGAGGTGGAAACAGTGTCTGCAGTCAGAACAGGGGAAATATAATATTATAATAATAAAACAATAAACAGGGAGTGGCTATGTGGATTTGCGGACTTCATTTGGTATTGGAATCGGAATCTGAGGTGTCTGGCAGTGTGGAAAATTGATTTGTGGAGCTCTCATCCTCCTCCAAGGGGCCGTTCCAGAGACAATCATTTCTCTTGGAAATTTTTGAGCCGCTGAGGTTTTCCGACCAAGAGAAAATCCAACTCACTTCATGAATCACGCCATTCATCCTCATGATGCATTGAATTTTTTAGGGGAGTTCCCGTTTGCTTTTGCAATTGTGTGGGTTCATGTCTCAATCAATCTAGTTTTACACATAGACCATCCTTTCAGGACTAAAAATCAGCAAACAGTGCCAGAATGAAGTGAAATGTTTACACAGTATGCTTCATCATGGATTTTACTACAGAAGTAGACTTAATCCTTCATGTATTCGGACACTTCCTTCTCGATTACCAGAAATGATCCCTTTTTCCCAATACTTATGACCTATAGCACGGATTGCAAACTCCTTCACTTCCTGAATCACATGGATTTCTCTGCAGCTGTGTAACTTCACCATACATTTCCATCCATTTTTACAGATAATAAAACAAATATTAGGGATATTGTGCCCCTCCTCGATAAAGGTCAGGACAGTGAATAAAAAATAAGGTTCAACTGACTTCATGACTGGCTTTACCCCTTATTCATCCCCCTTGTCCAACACTTTTCACTATGAAATAGGGGGGTGCACCTTATACACAGGGAATTTTTTTTATTACACAAATTGGGACCTCAAAAGCAGGGGTGCGTCTCGTCTTATACACAGTGGCACACTATACTCAAGTAAATACAGCACTTTAGAACAAACACTGCAGCTATTTCCCAAAGCTACACCTATTCAATGTGCCCCCAAAACACAACTGCTCATAATGAGGTTCCCACCTGTAAAGAAAGCCTCACCTTGGCTGAGGAGATCATGGTCAGAGCAAGATGCTGAAGATGCTGGACAAGATGGTGAACAGATCGAGCAAGGAGGACAGCATGGCGATGATATGTTCCTTCAATGGTCTTGATGAGTTCAATCACGTGACAAAGTGCAAGCACTGACATCTTTGTCATTGGCTGGCCGAGCATCACATGTAAATTCATCACCCAGAAGTGTCAGACCGAATTGCACACTCGTTTGTTTTCGGGGACATTGGTTTTTTGTTCCCACGGTATATTTAGATCTTCTGGTTTCCCTCCTTTTACCGTTAATTTCGATCGTGTTCTTGGACCTGGAACGTATTGCATCGCCGCTTTACATCATCCAATTTCAGCTTTCCTGGGTCTTGCACACTCAGCTTTTCCATTTTCATGATCCAATTCACTACCTTATCATCAGGAGAAAAGGAACATAAGAATGGAATTATGGTAAAAGTAGGAATACACCAAGAGCAAAATTTGTTCAATCATAATCTCAACCATCAATCTATACTAGCAATACCAATGATAGCCAATAGGAAACAGTGTGTTCTTCGTGGTTTCTTAATTATTATTATTTTCCTATATGTAAGCAATTTTCTCTTCATGGGTGATTAACCAAACCAACTCTCACTCTTCAATTGATCCTCACTTTTATGTCTCAAATCTCTTTCACCCTGGCTTAGAGAACTATTTCAACAAATCTCTCCTACCCCCTCAAGTTCAAAGCAAATGTGTGGATAGATCATTAGTAGTACCAAAAATAAAGAGAAAAAATATATAATCAGTAAAACATCCAAACTTCTTGGAAGAAAAAAAAAGAAAAAAAAAAAAGAAGTTTGTCATCAGAACTGACTACTGGAAGTTATCAATGGCCACAACTGCCAATGGTTAACCATTGGCTACCTGCACTGACAGAAATCAATATTAGGAGAAATTAAGGAAGAGGTATTCACAGTATGATATGATTTTCATTTAGTGACAAAACTAAAAACTAAACATGAGGAAATTTTCCATGGACTAAATTCCCCTCCCACTAGCTACAGTCAGCAGCAAAATGCAATTTGAAAAACCATACTGTAGAGTTCATGTAAGAATTCAAGGAGAAGGATATAGTCAAGTCACAGGGAATATGGACAGTGGAAGGAGAAGAAAAGAAATGAGTCATTTAGGGTCTGCCTGGCCTTTGTCGGTGGCTTAATTCTCTGTCAAAGACGTTTATTTCTATCTAATCATGACATTCTGACAAGGATACCCCGTGAGTCTTCTCTTCAGCAGTATATGGAGTTGGACAAATATGCTGAAAGGAAGACAGACAGGCTTGTTATTCTACCTGGTGAATCCTCTTCATTGTCATCATCAGAGGATGCGTGAAATGGCAATACATTTTATATTAACCAAACCTGCTGTCTTTGTGAAGAAAAACTGCCTGTGGCAACCCTGTTTTTCTAAGCTGTAGATTAGGGAAGGGGACTGTCAGGTAGCTGACATTTTATGACCTCTAATGGGGTGACCTGTCAAACTCACCGACCTACTTGCCAAAATCCCAGTGACTTGAGTATACACATACCTGCAGGGAATAGACATGGGCATCCTTGCTTAGTGAGGCATTCTTTGACTGAAGGAAAGATGTTCGAAAATTTGCAGCTCCTCGACGATCAAAATCTTTCACAAGTCCTCCCATGTACTTAGCAAGGAAATCATCCAAGCACCAAACAACATTCCCATACAGAACCACAGCAGGAATCTGCAAAAAAAAAGAACTAGAGTTGGCATAAATCTTCCCCAATTCACTACAGATAAACTCCTACCAAGTCCTTCCACAAGTAAAGATACATGTGCTATTAAAGACAAGCAATAATTTTTCCATTTTTTCACATTCATGAAGTTGGACATGGCAAAGCATTGTAAAAAAATGTGCCATACCCCTTTGCATGAACACTTTTCACAATTACAATCCCCTAGCCATTGTCAGGCCTTGTAGCATTTCCACAATCATATGGAAGGCTTAACAGAGTATGAAGACAAGCCTACCAAGACATGTATGATCAAAGCATGAGTAAAAATAACTAAGCCAGATTGCAATAAATTCCAACATACATTGGGAGTAAATCTCTTCACCACACTGCATGACAAGCATGTACATTAGTCTGATTTTTAAAGAGGCATTGGGCTCTGAAAGCTAAGAGAAAAAAAAAAGAAGGAAAAACCTTGCGGTAGAGATCCCAGACTTGTCGGAATAGCTTCTTATCCCCTGAGTTGCGGAAGAGAACCAAATGAAGAGTTTGCAAAGCAGCAACTTGCACAACCTGATGTCCTGAGTCTCCTTCCCATCCACTACCAATGCTTGCCTCCATTCGTGCCACAATAAACCTGATACTTTCCTGAAATTCCTTGGCCAAGTTAGGACAGCTGAACTCTGGTGATGAAACTGCTCCAAAGCACCCCTGGAAGATACCCTTAACTAGTGACTTAGGTGTCCCACAACTTCTGTGTCAGGCAGTGAATCTTTAACCATGAGAGAGCAAGTAAGACATAGAGACCTGAAGTATTGTCTCCCTGAAAAGTGCACTATCAAGGTTAGAGAGGACATCATGAAATGAAGATAGCTGCTCCTCTGAAGCACCAAATGTTGAAGCATCAGATTGAACAGACTTCACCATCTGCTTGTATAAGTTCCAATGCTCACGAAAGAGAGGTATACTGCTGAGAATCCCGTCCAGGGTCACAAAAATCACCAACAGCTCTCCAATGGACTCAAAAACTGTCTGCAAAAAGAATCCTACCTATTAACAAGGATGCAACAATTTTCACTGAAATGAGACCTTGTTTTGGCACTCACGTAAAAGTGAACGTCGGAGACATCCATCACTTTTGAGGCTTCCTTTTCTAGGTTATACAAGGCCACAAGTTGCAAGAGGAAGTTCTGAAGGACTTGATAGCATCGGTTTATGAAGCCACTCAGATCTTGGAGAGGTTTTATCATGTGACCCATCATAACTTGAGCCTCTGCTTCAGTTCCATCTGGAATGTCACAAAAAATACAGTTAACCCTCATCATAACCCCATTTGGCATAGCACTACCACTACTTATGGCCAACCTCTTCCAATGGGTAAATCATCTAAAAAATTTATAAGTAATGTGCGTAACTCAACTCAATATCACCACTGTTTGTATAAAAATTGGCATTAACCAAAAGTGGTGCAATATTGAAGACTGAATGTACAATCATCATAATGAAATAAAATAAGATCCTGCAATGCTCCTAAGTGAGACACTTTATTTCAGTCTTACATTGTGAAGGTGACAATTAGTAAAGATTCAGCTGGTCCTAGGAATCCTGAAACCTGGAGAAATGCCTAACTCAATTGAAAAACACAAACATTAAATTCATTTTGAAAATTAATCATACAAAACACAAATGAAAATATGAGACACCCATGAAGGCCACATTGATTCATCAGAGAAAATATATAAACAAGGATACAAGTAGCTTCAACACAATACTTTGACATACCAAAACCTTCTCCATAAAGGAGAAATGAACCATAGAAGTCGGTCTCTGCTTCAAGTTTGAGCTGAAGAACCTCATGGCACAGTGCAGCAAGGACACGAAGCACCTTGTTTAACACACGGTTGTCAGAAGAGATCAACCTCAATGTGCCATCTTGATCTTCTGGTAAAAACTGTGAAACCATGTGTAAGCACAGGTGAAAGCAAAATAGGCATGACAAAAGATTCAGGCAATAATGCCTAATTTTAATCTATAATATATATTAGAAAAATGGCCTAAGTTATTTCATATAAAATGTACAACCTGAGTCCCTAATGGTACAATTCAGTAATTTAAAAGTGGTTCCAAGCAGTACATAGACGTTATTGAGTAAATTAAACCAGCACCTAGCCAAGCACGAACACCATGATCATTCCTGCAAAAGTTAGCAGCCCAACCTTCAAATGGCATTCATCAACTAATGGTTTCCCTTGCAACTACCACACAAAGACATCTACTGCTTTCACTAAGAGCCACGCTTTTGCGTTCTTCAGTATTTGACAAGTACACAATCATATCAGTTATTGCAAAAGCCATTCAGTTTATCTAAAGCAGAAGAGTCAAGTTTTTAGAGACAACAACCCAACACAGGAAGAGACATGATCCCCTCCTGTCATGAACAATGTTACCTTTTGCCTCAAATCGCAAAATCCCTTATGAGTAGCAATAATGAGGGGTAATTTAGGGCAAACCTGGAGGGAAATTGGGTCCAGAGAGATGTCCCAGGCACCTTTGGAGTAACCATGGAGTGCATGTTGTATTTCCCTCAACTGGGTGGTATACCCATTCAGAAATTCCCCATATCTCTTCACCTGAACTTCACCAGCCAGTCCTAAGAACGTGGAAAAAAAAAAGTTTTCTTGACATCCAGGTCTAGGTTGATAAATGGGCCTTCTGTCCACAAGCCAGACAGATTTGTCAAATAAAGTGGAAATCAATGCAAATCTATGCTGAATGAATAGAAGTGAGTGTGAGATAAAGGATATAGGCCAAGTCATGGTCCATATTCAGGGTCATCACCCTTTCATTATCCAGGGCCACACCTTGTTAAAGTTGTGCACTGTTGCTATCATGGTGAAATTCACGTTTTCTTTTGATCAACTATTACAGTGAACTCGGAGAAACGAGGGTACTGCAAAGGAGATGAAAGGAAAGAGAGTGAGGAACTGAGAAGGCAAATAAGGGATTTCAGACAGCTTAACAAATCCATTTCGCATGATAAGAGGACGATGCTGAAGTTGTCAACACTCCAGGATGATAGAGAATACAGGACCATCAAAAACCAATAAGCTTTTGCAAAAGTGAAGTGAAAGTTTTATATCATGATGATATATGAAATGATTATGGATGAGTAAAAAGGTTTGCTAGCTATGGCAACTAATAAAAGCAGCTTGATACAGATTCTGGCAAGAAGAGGCATGGAGTTCCAGATGGGTGGAGAGTATTGAAAGAAAGGAAATAACTATGTTGAATGAGAGTTCAAACAGCTATAGAAAATGTAATCTAAAAGGTTTTGGGAAAAACATGAGTTATTTTGTTCCTCCACTTCCAAAGTGATTCTTGTTATTCTCCATCAGATTTGCTTATTCTTGGGTATGTGTCCAAATGCAAGCAGTTGTCCATATTTGATCTAAATCATAGTAAAGCTTCATTAGAAAGAAGAAATTGCCAACTTCAAATGTTATAGAAATCATTTCAAGGATCTTGGATGCAATTTATATTCTGGATAGAATATGATATTAGGATTTTGAATTTGAAGCATTGTGAGTCCTACTTATGTATGGCTATGCTAGATAGTCAAAGAAATTGCCACCTAGGCAGTTAAATGGGCACTTTCCTATTGGACAGATGCAAATAAACCTTGAAATACATTTAATTTCGGCAATGAAGGGCAAGGTTCATAGGTAGAGCATTTGTCAAGAGTGATGTAAATTCATCTAGCAGCAGTCATTTGTGCATAGAACCTACATTGTTGAACACAAGGCATGCTAATTGTTCCCAATAATAAACGGAGGATTTCATATAATTTCAGTTTGAACCCCAAGTCGTAACGAGCATGATGATTAATGAAAGCCTTTCACTAAGGTAGGCCTAACAACGACGCTAAAAAAAAAAAAAAACACTTACGGGTGTTTCCATCGCTCTCTTTCCAATCAGGGCCATTCTCAGACACCGTGATCATCGATGCAGAAAACTAGACAAACCTACAAGTGAATAATAAAAAAGTTGAAACCGGTGCCAAACGACATGCTCTTATTATAATCCTAACGTGGGTTTAACCAAAATAAATCCCAGCCACAGTAAACGTCACACAGCACAGCAGCGAGCCACAGGTGCAGAGGTTCAGGCGATGGCAATGATCGTCATTCCATGCTATGAATGAATCCAAATTGGCACCATGCATTAGGCAGTACCCCACTTCGATGAGCCTAGCAAGGATGGTGGTTAGTCAAGGGTTGGGGTGAATTAAAATCCACAGTCATGATCTTTGGTTGCACACACGTGGGATCTTGTGACATTCGTTCTTATATAGTAATATTCGCTTACGTGGTAGGTCTATAGTGCTGATAGTGAGTCAAATGATTAATTAAAAAAGGGGTCCCATCATTGGGGCTATTATGAAATGTAAAGTGTGGGCTTGAGCTAATACATGGTCAAGGCTATTACAACATGGGCCTTGGGCTGGAAGTAAAAAAAACAATGCCATGCACATTACCGCAAGGAATAGTGTTTTTCTGTCGTCAGATATTTTAAAAATTTGACTTGACACCCATGCCTGAGGAACGTCTCATGCTCAAATGTCTTGAGTTAGACACTTGTAATTTCTCCCTTGAGTTAGACACTTGTACATGGGATGCTCCTCATGCATTGGTTGGTGTTGAATTCAAGTGAACAATTTCTGACTCAATGGAAAGCACTGTAATAACTGACTATAGTGTCTCCCTGGTGAGTCAGTGATGTAACTTAAATTTCAGGAATTCATCGAGTTTCATTTTGAGTTTTGCGAAAATAAATCGGTGTTACCTTGGTATGAATCTTTGGCTTATAAAGATGTTTTCCCATCCTCTCCAGTGAATTTTAAGTATTTTTCTTTAAATTTCAGGAATTCATCGAGTTTCATTTTGAGTTTTGCGAAAATAAATCGGTGTTACCTTGGTATGAATCTTTGGCTTATAAAGATGTTTTCCCATCCTCTCCAGTGAATTTTAAGTATTTTTCTAGCATTACCGTTAGATGTTTCTGTGCAGTTTCCTACCCTGAGGATATGTTTCATATCTAAGTTAGGCCTTTACCTTGACCCCACTGCCTTAGGGATATGCATAGGCCTAGACTAAGGTTTCATCTCTATAACAATTGCCAGTGTCTGTTGGTCTATCTGACCTGATTGGCCTGACTAACCATGGCCCACATCTGATCTGAAGCTCAATTGTCAGTGGAGCTCTATATGTCAGCAGCTCTCTCAGGCTTCTTGGCTTCAGAACTTGAGGTCTATGATGGAGTGTTCACCCACAACTGAGAAGATACTTGATTGTCAACCTAGCAACACACCTGATCCATGGATCAGGTTTTCACCCCCATCCAACCAATCCATATTCTGTGAAGAGCTTAATCATTCCTTGTTCTTCACCCAATGACCAGGTGTTTTGTCTTACTTGAATGCTAGGAGTGGACCTTGCTGAAAAATTCTATACAGGCAATTGGGTGTTCCCTGACAACAAAATGCTTCCCTCATTATTGATCAAAAGCATGGCTGCTTGCTATTTGAATGTTGTGTCTCTTTAGAATGCTATCAGATAGAACTCACTGAAAATTGTTACAAAGGAAAATTGCAAGTCTCTGATAGCAGGAAGCATCCTACCTTTTCCATCTGATACCTGGGAGTATCAAATTTGTATGGTGTGTCTTATTTGAAAATTATGGGGCTTAACTCTTTGAAAATTGGTATTAGACTTCCAAAGACCTAGGCATCATGTACCAGGGTCAAATCCTATGGGTTTTGTTTATTCTGGGCCTGAGGAGGATAGGGAAATGGGAGGAGAGGATGATGGGATGCATCCAATATTATTGATCAAAAACATGGTGGTTCAAAATTCCAGCAATCTCATTTGAATACTATGGGACAGAAGTCAATTGAATTCAATGATGAAGACTTGATGATTTCATTGGTAGCTGCTTGTTCTTGTATAGCCCAGTATAACCCCTTAATACCAGGGGTTGGGAACTTTTGGCCATGGAAGCCATATTAAGATTGAGCTACGTGCTTGTGAGCCAAAGATTTTCAGAACAACAGAATTTTTCCTAAAGTTGGCTACAGACATTTCTTTGATACCTGAGAAAAATGAGGAACAACCATGATTTTCAGCCATGCCTCAATGAGCCAAATTTGGCTCATGAGCCATAAGTTCCCAAACCCTGCC